GTGCTTCTTGCCGGCACCCCGGGTTCTAGTCCCGGTCGGGGCGCCGGATTCTGTCCCGGTTGCCCCTCTTCCAGGCCAGCTCTCTGCTGTGGCCCGGGAGTGCAGTGGAGGATGGCCCAAGTCCTTGGGCCCTGCACCCGCATGGGAGACCAGGAGAAGCACCTGGCTCCTGCCTTTGGATCAGCGTGGTGCGCCAGCCGCGGCGGCCACTGGAGGGTGAACCAATGGCAAAAGGAAGACCTTTCTCTGTCTCTCTCTCTCACTGTCCACTCTGCCTGTCAAAAAAAAAAAAAAAAAAAGAAAGAAAGAAAAAGAAAAATTATGAATACAAAATAAGGTATGAAAATTTTAGTGCATAATGGACCACAAATATGATGATGGCCCCTTAAGATTATAACTGAGCTGAAAGCTTCCTATCACCTGGTGTTTTATGGTGCCTTTTCTATGTTAGCTTAATAGGCTAATCCTCCACCTGCGGCGCCGGTACCCCTGGTTCTAGTCCCGGTTGGGGCGCTGGATTCTGTCCCAGTTGCTCCTCTTCCAGTCCAGCTCTCTGCTGTGGCCCTGGAGGGCAGTGGAGGATGGCCCAAGTGCTTGGGACCCTGCACCTGCATGGGAGACCAGGAGGAAGCACCTGGTTCCTGGCTTCGGATCGGTGCAGCGCTGGCCATAGCGGCCATTTGGGGAGTGAACAAGCAGAAGGAAGACCTTTCTCTCTGTATCTCTCTCCCTCATTGTCTATAACTCTACCTGTCAAATAAAAAAAGTTAAAAAATTATAATTTTTTAAATGACCATTTTGTTATTTCCAGCAATTTTTTATTTAGTTTTAACTTATTTGAAAAGCAAAAAGACACACATACACACAGATAGAGACAGACAGAGGGTGATCCTCCATCTACCAATTTACTTCACAAATGCTCATAACAGCCAAAGCTGAGCTGGGTAGAAGTCAGGAACCTGAAACAATTCAGGGCTCCCGTGAGCTGCAAGGACACAGGCACTTGAGCCACCCCTGCTGCCTCCCGTGGTGTGCATTAGCAGGAAGCTGGAACCAGAAGTGGACCTGAGCACAGCATTGCAGTACGGGATGCAGGGGTCCCAAGCTGCAATCTCATTGCTGTGCCAAAAGCCTACCCTGCATCGTTAGCTTCCTGAACTTCCCAGTAATCTCTTCTCTGGTATGTGGCACTTCTGAGGGAAGAGAGGAAGGTCTACAATGCAGATGCGTCCCTGATATAGGCACATAACACACCTCACTTGCAGTGTGCTATGATACATGCCAGTTAATGAGAGCCCAGACACACAGACTTAACACAGATCACATTTTCTAGCTTAGACTGAGCTAGCCATTCCCCAAATGCTGCAGTGTCTTAAGAAGATGCCTAAGAAATCATGGTTCATAGCTAATATTAATAATACAAGCACAAACCAAAGACAAGAAAATGACAGAGCCAATATCTGAGCCATGTCCAGGATTAATTTTTGTCAGCCACACAATGAGATGAAGATGATGATATAATCATATTTGACATGAGTTGTCCCCAAGACTAGTAAGATTTCAAAAAGACTATTTCAAATATGACTTACATTCATATTACATGATAATTTGAGGCCACTATTATTGGCCAGATATTATAAAATCTTACTTCATCCTTTAACATTTTATATTTGTATTGTGTTCATGGTGCAAAACTGTTACTATACAGTGCCTTAATAAAATGTTTAGATTTAGAAGCTGGCATTGTGGCACAGAGTTAAGCCGTGGGGAGGCAAAAGGATGGGAAATAATAATGATAATAAAAAGGGTAAGAGAAATAGTGCCTAGCCATAAGATCTAATATTTAACTGGAGTCACAGAAGGAAAGAAGAAAGTGGAGGCAGAAGTAACAGTTGAAGAAGTGAAACTGACAAGTCTCCAGAACTTACAAAACTTGTCAATCAGAATATTCTAGAGGCTTAGTGAATCCCACACCTGATAAATAGAAGACACACACTTTTTTTTTTTTTTTTTTTTTTTTTTTTTTTTTGACAGGCAGAGTGGACAGTGAGAAAGAGAGACAGAAAGAAAGGTCTTCCTTTGCCGTTGGTTCACCCTCCAATGGCCGCCGTGGGCAGGCGCGCTGCAGCCGGTGCACCGCGCTGATCCGAAGGCAGGAGCCAGGTGCTTCTCCTGGTCTCCCATGGGGTGCAGGGCCCAAGTACTCAGGCCATCCTCCACTGCACTCCCGGGCCATAACAGAGAGCTGGCCTGGAAGGGGGGCAACCGGGACAGAATCCGGCGCCCCAACTGGGACTAGAACCCGGTGTCTGGCGCTGCAAGGCGGAGGATTAGCCTAGTGAGCCGCACTGCCGGCAAGACACACACTTCTAAACACAAAGTAAAAGAGCAGAAAATCATAGTCTAAGAGAAAACTCGTGAAAGCAGCCCTCAAAGAAGTAGGTCCCCTAAGATCTAACTTTTCTTTAAAAAAAAAAAAAAGATTTATTTATTTGATAGAGTTATAGAGAGAAGGAGAGGCAGAGAGAGAGAGAGAGAGAGAGAGAGAGAAAGTCTTCCATCTGCTGGTTCACTCCTCAGATGGCTGCAATGGCTGGAGCTGCACGGATCCGAAGTCAGGAGCCCGGAGCTTCTTCCAGGTCTCTCACGCAGGTGCAGGAGCCCAAGGACTTGGGCCCTCTTCCACCGTTTTCCCAGGCCAAAGCAGGGAGCTGGATCAGAAGTGGAGCAGCCGGAACTTGAACTGGCGCCCATATGGGATGCCGGCGCCACAGGTGGCAGCTTTACCCACTATGCCACAGCGCCAGCCCTAAGATCTGACTTTTCATAAGCAAAAGCAGAAGTCAGAACTTTGGACTAATTTCTAAGTGCACTGAAAGAACGGAAACTATATTGTTCCATCTTCTCTGATTGTACTTGTCCCTCTTTCACTCACCAGATCCTTGTGATTACTTTGGGCACATCAAACAGTTAAGGATTATTGGCCTATGTAAAGATTTTAACGTAATCACACCTGCAAACTCCCTTTTGCCAGGCATATTCACAGGTTCCCAGATCAAAACCTGAACATTTATGGTGGATCATTATCCTGCCTATCTATAGGCATTATTCTGCCTAGCTTCAATCTGAAAAATGCTCTCAACCTTTTAGTGATCCTTTTCTTTGACAGTGTCCCATTAGAAGAGAACAAAATCAGTATTTCCAAGTAGAACAGGATAAGATTCTTTGCATATTATCTCATTTAACCTACCAACAACCTTCAACCCTGATGAGGCAGCTATTATAACTTTGATTTTTTTTCAAAGAACATTTCCTTTTTGAAAAAAAAAAAAAAGACTGATTTTATTTATTTGACAGGCAGAGTTAGAGGGAGCAGGAGAGAGAGATCTTCCATCTGCTGGTTCACTCCTCAGTTTCAACAGCCAGGGCTGGGCCAGGAACTCCACCTGGGTCTCCCACGTGGGTGGCAGGGACCCAGACACGTTGGCCACCTTCTGCTGCTTTTCCAGACACATTAACAGGGAGCTGGACATACAGGGAGCCGGCATTGCAGGCGGCAGCTGAATCTGCTGTACCTCAACGCCAACCCTATGCATTTCAAAAAGTTAGAGATTGGGTTTAGCACTGCGGCACAGAAAGGGTTGTGGCACAGTGGTTCGGTCACCGCCTGCGACGCAGGCCTCCCAGCTGCCCCCACTTCCACCCCAGCTCTCTGCTAAAGGCCTGGGAAAACAGGGAAAGGCCCTAGTGCTTGGGCCCCCGCACTCTTGTGTGAGACCGGGAATCATCTCCTATTAGATGCTGTTGTGGCGATCTGGGGAGTACGCCAGGAGATGCAATCTCTCTGTCTCTCCCTCTCTGGGACTCTATCTTTAAAATAAACAAATACATTTTTTAAAAATGCCTGAGATTGAAGATGAGAGCAGATAATTCAACTGAGGTCTTCTAGCTGGTAAAACGTCTCAGTAGAAATTTGCACCTTAGAGACTTGCACCCATATCCCCAGATGGGTCTCCCCGAATGCAACCAAGCTTTCCCAACTACAGTATGTACAAATGTCCCCTGGCTTATTATATTTATTGTGCAGATGATTTCTGGCCAGTCTGTACCTCAGGAAACATTCTAATCTGATGGGATTTTAAATGAGTGAAAAAGAAAGAAAGGTGGGGAGGTGTTCCAAATTAGAGAGGCATTTTGAATAAATCATTGATGGCAACAGGCTCTCACGGGAACCCCGGTTGAATCGCTTAGGTTCTCCTGGACCTGTTTTCTCACCTGTAAATGAGCTATTTGGACCTAATGACACTCTTCCCAGTTCCCTTCTGGCTGGGTCATTCTATAATTCTAAGAGAGAAGGCTCCGGCCTCCAGCTACCTTGACTTTGCTGGGTGGGCTCCCAGGTGATTGCATTCAAGTGAGAAGCAGCTGAACTACGCCAGCGAAAACCTACTGCAGAGCTAAGCAGGGAAAAAAACGAAGGAGGGAGACGGGAAAGCGGCCAACGACGCCTGGCGAAGGAGACACAAACTGTATGCAAATAGCTCAGACCACCAACGGGTCCGTAGCGTGCACCAGGCAGAGCCGAGTGCTGCCCCGGTAGGATGCAGGAGGACATCGCTCCCCGTCTCTCGGCGCTCCCAGTGCCCGGAGCGTACGCTTCGTATTTGCGCGTGGAATGCGAACTTCCACCACTGCTAGAAGCCCTGAATGTGAGAAACGTAGGAAAAACGGAGGATCGAAAAAAAATTTTTTTGGGGGGGGAACCATTCGAGGGTGCCAGGAGCCACGCGAAAAGGCGGTCTCTGGAAACCAGCGGTATAGGCCGGCAGCGGAGGGACACGAGTTGTCCACGCCGCGCCCCCTCCCCAGCCCAAACCCCACGCACAAAACAAACGGCCGCAGCCGTCGGGAGGAGGCGCAGCTCCTCCTCCCAGTCCGCACAGCGGCCCCGCTGCAGCGCCCTCGCCGCCCGCCGCCCCCGCCTCGGTCCCTCGGGCCTCGGAAGTGACGCAGCGCGCCCCGCCCCCGCCGCCAGATCCGCTGCTGCTGCCGCGGCGGGCGGATCTGCAGGAGGCGGCAGCGGCGGCGGCGGCCGAGGCCGAGGGAAGATGGCGGACGGTGTGGACCACATAGACATTTACGCGGATGTGGGCGAAGAGTTCAACCAGGTACGTGTGGGCCTGGGCCCGCGCCGCCGACGCGGGCGACGCTGCGGCCTGGACGCCGCGCCGGGGGCCCGCCGCGGGCCGCGAGCCGACGCTGCTGCAGACCGTGCGCCCTTGCCGCCTCTCGGCCCCGGCGCCCCCCTCGCCCCCTCGTTCTACCGCGTCGTTTCGCGGGCCGCGGGCGCTGCGAGCCGCCGCGGGGCCTGGAGCGCGGTCGCGGGCCGCCGTGCAGGCGCCGCTGGCCCCTCCCTCGCCGCCGCGGCCTCGGGGCTCCCCATTGTTGGCGGCGGCCGGCGAGCGCTTTCCCGCCGCGCTAGGCCCGGGCGGCGGGGCCCGCGTGTGCGCGGCGGGGAGAACGGGCCGCCGCGCCCCCTCCCCCGCCGCCGGCTGGAAGAGGAAGCCCCGGCGGGGCGCGCGCCTGCCGCCCCTGCCGCCTCTTCCCCGGCCGGGCCGCTCGGGCTCCGATTCCTCCCGTCGCTCCATTTTGTCTCGCTGTCCGCGCACGGCCGCCTCATGGAAGGCCGCGTTCACGACCCTTTGTATTCCGCGCGCCCCGTCTCCGGGACGCTCCCGGCCGCTTTCGGCGTGGCGCCCTCCTCCTCGTGCCCGTCCCACTTGGTGCAGGCGCCGTCGGTGCCAGCACGTTTGCAACAAGTCTTTGGATTTGGGGCGCCCGCCGCTTGCGTGCAAAAGCCCGTGCCCTGTTAATAACAGAGGAGCTTGCAGTGCATCCTAGTCTCAGCCGTTCTGGGCCTTTGTGTTGAAAATAGCCGCGGAGATAAGTGGCTGGGGCCGCGACCAGGAATTGGAGGCGCGCAGTGGGGCTTGGATGAAACAAAAAGATGGTTGCTCACGCCCAGATGAGCGTGATGAAGACGTAGACAAGGTGTAGTTTCAAAATACGGAGTGCGAGGTGGGACCCTGTTTTCGGAGGCTCGTGGTTGATCCCCCACCCCACCCCCGCCCGGGCTCTGCTTAGGGTTTGAAAGGCTGCAGGAAGAGCCGGCCAGGTTTTCCAGTGTCCCATCGGACACGGTTGCCCGCGAGAACCAACTGGCCAAGCATCCTGGGAAAGGAACTCGTTTGTTGCTGGAGTAGTGACGTTTGAGCTCCGAGCCTGCGTTTTCTCTAGTCTCATTTTTTTTTTTTAAATACATGTATAGTGCCCAACTGCAGTGCACCCTAAAAGCTTTTTTTTATGTCTTCCAGGTCCGCATACGAAGTTTTAATATCCCCATGGTTAAAGTGGTTTTTTTTTGTTTTGTTTTGTTTTCTCTTTCCCTCCATTAGCAGTTTTACAAATATGCAGACTCAGAATTACTGTTCTGTGTCTTAGGAATGACTGTGTCTCTGGTTTAAGTATTAGAAAAGATATTTCCAAGTGGCTTTAAGTGTTTCCTATGCTGTTAAAGACTGTATGTGTTTAAATGTAACCCATTGTAGTCAAATGTGAAGTTTGAAAATGTGTTTTTTTTTTTAAACTATGCTTACGGTTTGAATACATGATGCCAATTACAGGTTAGAAAATTTCCTTGGGCTACACAGTGTTTTAAAGTTGGTAGACAAAGACCTCTAGGAAGTGTCTTTTATTTATCCAACGAGTATAACATTGCATCCAAAAGAGGGCCTGTAACTGCAAGCAAAGGAGCAGTTAAGTTCAAGACTATCTTGGTTGAAGAAAATACATTGCTTCACCTTGCTACGCACAGTGAAGGAAGAATTGCATGATTTAGAAACTGAGCTTTCTTCAGTGCCTCTTCATGAAATATTTTTAGGCTTTTTCATACTTAATTTATGAAAGACTTCTCGCTTATCCAGATAACTGGATGGAGTGATACTTTCTTATCCTTGTGCAGTAACTAGTGTTGAGTAAGCAGGAGGTAAGACATAAAATTTTGTGGACCTACTTTATAGATTGGCTTCTGATCTGCCTGTTGTGGTAATTCTGGTGCACAAAATGACCACGGAAGAGTTGTTGGGCATTTCCAATGGGGAAAAAAATCTTCAAAATAATTTTTCGAAATCTTATTAAAATTAAAGGTAACCACAACAGTTTTTGTGATGGGTTTATTTCATCTGTACTCCGTTATGAACCAGTTACCTTGTTTCTACTAATGGCTTGTAGTAAACTATGACATTTGATTGATAGAATGTTGTACAGTACTGATTTAACCAGTCTTTATTTTGGCTCCTATGTTGCTGTAAACATTTATAAAAATCTTTGTTTTTCCATTGTGAACTGCAGTTTTAATGGCATTTGTATACTTTGGGATTATGTGTTGTCTGTATATTTTCCATTTTCTTGTTTTAACTGGTCATAGCTTTTATGAAATTTGTCGTCGTTTTTATGTTGCTAACGTTACTTTCACACAGTGAGACTTTCAGCAATCCTAGAAGAAACTTTATTTTGTTTGGGGATGGGGTGAAAATAAGTTAGTGAAATTGTAGTAGAGTTTCTTTCTTCTCCAGATGAATTTAAGACTAGAGAATGAAGAGGAGAAGGCACAAGGGACCCGGCTATTTTTCATGGGTGCTCTGCAGTTCTTAAATTGAAGGTCTTTGGATGTCACCGTATTGAGAGCATTTACTTCAGTCGAAGGAGAATTTGAATTACTTTCCTTTTTTAAAGAAGATTATTTATTTGAAAGAGTTACAGAGAGGAGGAGAGGCAGAGAGGAGTCTTCCATCCACTGGTTCACTCCCCAGTTGGCCGCAAGGGCCGGAGCTGCGCTGATCCGAAGCCAGGAACCAGGAGCTTCTTCCTGGTCTCCCATGCGGGTGCAGGGGCCTGAGGACTTGGGCCATCTGCTGCTGCTTTCCCAGGCCGTAGCAGAGAGCTGGATAAGAAGTAGAGCAGCTGGGTCTCGAACCAGCGCTCATATGGGAAACTGACACTGCAGGCGATGGCTTCACCCTCTACACCACAGTGCCAGCCTCATGAACTACACTTCTAAACTATACTTCTGTGTTACCTGAATTTGGAGTTGGATAGAAAGCAGTTCTGTGTATCAGTTTAAAGAGGATTTGTACTCAAATGTAGTACTTAGTAGGTTAATTTAAAATCCCTTTTTTCACAATTTACTCAATTTGGGAGGGGGGACTCAATGATAATTTTAAAAATTCAGCTGCTTTCTGAGTATCTGTTATGTACCCATGAGAAGTGCGGAGTTAGCTGGTATCTGCCATTGGGGCACACTGTAGTGGGTAGGGAGGATGAGAGGCACCTGCATGATTAGATCACACTAACAAGTCCTGTGTTGTAGATACTACTCCTTTATGTGTAAAATTGTTGGCAGGGGAGAGGAAAGTCGAGAAAAATTCCGTGAACTTGAGTAGATTGAGTATCCTGTATCTGAAATGCTTGAAACCAGAAGTATTTTAAGATTTTGGGTTCTCAGATTAAAGATGCTCAACCCTCCTGGTGTACATTCAAGTAGTGTGTATTTGTGCGTTTGGGGATTGGAATTTCCTAATGTTGAATTTAGTTTCCAGTCTGCCAGTCTGTACATCACTAATGAGCCGAAGCAGTGTAGGAGTTTGCCCAACTTTAAGTGTTTAGAAGTGGTGGCCAGAGGAAAGTTGATTTAGAAGGTACTGACCTAGACGTCATAATAAGTCAACTTTTATTTAGTGAATGATTTTGCTTTATATTTAACATTATACATTTACTCTGGCCAGTTTGGACAGTTATGAAAAGTAATTTTACTTGACAAGGCCAATGCAGCCTTATTTCTGTTAGTTTTCTATTCAATGTAAACTTATTTTAAGACTGTTAAGATCCAAAATAAAGCACATAGTGGTTCTTTGAGAAATATGGATAGTCATGTTTGGAGCAACTGAAAGTCTTCACTTGATTTTATTTATGAGCTCAGTTAATTTATCTATGTCTGTTGAAAAATGCAAAACCCCTATCCACTTGTCCATTCCCCAGTTGCTCACAAAGTTGGACCTGGCCAGAAACTGGGAGTTGAGTACTCAATCCAGGGATCCCACGTGTGTGGCAGGAACCCAATCATTGGTGCCATCACCCTGCCTTCCAGGGTCCTCACGAGTGGGAAGTTGGAGTTAGTAGCCAGAGCCAGACATTGAATTTGGGTAATCCAGGGTGAGACATGGGCATTTTAACCAGTGTCTTAACTGCTAGGCCAAAGAGTGAACCCATAAAATGAAGTATTTTCTTTTAAAATAAGTGCAGTCAGCCTTCTGTATTCAAGGATTCTGCATCCACAGATTGAACGACTGGATTAAAAATACTCTTAAATTTGTGTCTGTACTGAACATGTACAAACTTTTTTTCCTCGTCATGCTTCTTTAAATATTACAGTATAGCAGCCATTTACATTGCACCTAGAGTATATGAGAGCATGTGTACAGGTCACATACAAATACTGTGCCCTTTTCTATAAGGGAAGTGCCAATAGATAAGAGGATCTCTGGAACCAGATACTGAGGGGTGGTTGTATGTATTAGATTATCTGCTGTTGGATTTTATGTACTAGTATGTTACTCCCTTGGTGTAGAATAAGTTTTATAGCTGCAAAATAAAAATTTTCCCGTTTATATTCTCAATTACATCCCAGTTAAAAAGCAAATAGGAGGGACATTGGTGCAGTGTTGTGATATAGCAGGTTAAGCTGCCACCTGTAATGCCATCATCCTATATGAGCACCGGTTTGAGTTCCAGCTGCCCCACTTCACGTCCAGCTAGCTCCCTGCTGATGTGCCTGGGAGAGCAGCAGAAGATGGCCCAAGTGTGGCATCCTGCCACCCATTTGGGTGACCCTGTTGGAGTTCCTGTCTTCTGGCTTTGGCCTGGCCCATCTCTAGCCATTGCAGCCATTTGGGGAGTGAACCAGCAGGTGGAAAATCTCTTTGTTCTCTCTCTGTACCTGTCTCTTTCAAATACATAAACAAATCTTTTATTTTTTGATTTAATTATGTATTTGAAAGAGTTAGAGGAAGAGGCATAGAGAGCGAGAGAGGTCTTCCATCTGCTGGTTCACTCTACAGATGGCCGCAGTGGCTGGAGCTGCTACCATCCAAAGCCAGGAGCTTCCTCCGGGTCTCCCATGTGGGTGCAGGGTCCCAAGGACTTGGGCCATCTTCTGCTTTCCCAGGCCATAGCAGAGAGCTGGATCAGGAGTGGAGCAGTCAGGTCTGGAACCAGCGCCATTATGGGATGCTGGCACTGCGGGTGGCAGCTTTACCTGCTATGCCACAGCGCCAGCCCCAGTAAATAAATGTTTAAAAAGAAACATACAGGGATTTTTAATAAAGTGGCCTTTACCTTGTGTTATTAGTGATATTATACCATGCATGCATGCATCATATTGCTATAATTTTAGGACTACAAAAGCAGTGTTGCTGGGGCCCACATTGTGGTATAGCAGGTGAGGCAGCCACCTGGAACGCCAGCATCCCATATGGGAGCCAATTCATGTCCTGGCTGTTGACTTCTAATCCAGCTCCCTGTAAATGTGCCTGGGAAAGCAGCAGAAGATGGCCCAAGTTCTTGGGCCCCTTGCTACCCACAGAGGAGGTCCAGAGGAAGTTTATGGCTCTTGGCTTCGGACCAGCACAGTTCTGGCCATTGTGGCTATTTGGGGAGTGAACCAGTGGATGGAAGATGTCTGTCTCTGTCTCTCTCTCAACTCTGTCTTTCAAATAATCATTAATTTTTTTAAAAAAAACATGGTTGGGCCTGTCAGGGAGAACGAAGAAAACTTTGATTGCTATAACAAGGTAATTCTAATAATAGCTTGCAGTATATCTGTGATATTAAAATTTTATGGGGATGGGTGTTTGGGGAAAATATCTGAAATAGCTCTTTGGAGGAAAAGAGTGCTAATTATAAGAAGACTGAAAAACATTTCCTTAAGAGCCCTCATAGGATTTTGGTCATTTTTACTATCTAACTTATTTTTAGATGCTTTCCTTAATTTGACAAAAGCTATTTTTATGTCATGTAAAACATAATCTTGTATTGCAAAATCTTGAGTGGATACCTTACCTTTACAATGGCTGTAGTGATTTAGAATGGGAGGCATTGAAAAAGACAAGTGAATTTTTTCAACAAACTGTAAGAGCTATTGCTAACTGGAAGTTAGGTATAATGCTCTACTTTATTAGGAAATAAGCTAGCAAAAAGTAGGTAAGATTGGGCTGCATCGGGCGTCTAAAATAATTAAAGGGGTGATGTTGATATTTTCTTGTTTCTGAATGTTTTTAAGAGTAGTAATTGAAAAGCCCCTTTACGTAGTAGGCTTTGATGCTATTGACTGTTTTTTCTCTTTGACAAAGTATGGACTGTTATTTTTAGTGTATTCTGTAGGTTTTCAGAGCTTTCTGTGATACACATTTTGCATAATATCAGAATATGCATGTTTTCTCAATATCAGTGAAGTAGCAAAAAAGTAAGGATGTGTTCTGTATTTTTTTAATGTAGAGGATAAGCATGATAATGAACCTGAAAAAGGAAGATTACTGATACTACCAAAGAGTGTGTGCTTTGAGTTGCATTTTTAGTAATGGTGACAAATGTATTCAGATTCATTAATATTTTCCACCAAGTCCAAATGTATTCCATTGGGGCTAGTATAGGAGTACAGGCTCTGGCCTTGGAACAGAGTGAAGCTAACTAGTCCACATGGAAATCAAACTCCAGGACCATGGTCTCAATTAACATCGTACTTCAACAAATTGGAAGCAGTACAACATCTGAACAGATTGGCCGATTCTAAATATTAGTAGAATCATGTCAATATGGAAAATTGGTTGAACCTAGGAATTCCCGGACTTAAAAAATAGTAAGTGATTGTTATGCACCAGGTTAGTGTAGCTGCAATTAATGCTTGTAAATTATTGTCTGGTTGTGTAAACATTGCACAGATTTAAAACTAATGAAACAAATATCAAGCAATGCCTTAATCCGGTTTATATAAGTAAAAGTTTAAATACTTTTCATCATGCTATTAATAACCCTTGAATTCTTTTTTGCTCTCCCTCAGACCGTATTTTGTGATTCTAATCTCTGCTGAGGAGGATGGAAACACAACTCCCTTTGAATAGTAATAATAATTCTCCTTGAAGTACAGATCTGGATTGCAAGAGAGTTTAAAAGTGCCCACTACTCTTTGTGGAAAGCCTTTTTGTTTTTTAAGTGTATGGAGCCCGTGCTGCAGCTACAGCATCTGAAGCTTCAGCTACACTGAAACTTCATAACAGAACTTATCTTGCTTTATCTGAATTTTTACTGTCACTGCAATTTGAGCATGTTACTTTGTTTAATAGAAACTCGTGTCTTAGAGATTATTTTGGTGTTTCTGTATAAACAAAATAAAACTATAGCATTATTCAGTGTGGTCTTAGTTTCTGCCCATTGCTAAAGATGGTTTTATTCTCTGATTATACCTTGAGGTCTTGGGCCCCTTAATGACATAAATCTTACAGACATTCTACCTCATAACAAATAAAATGGTTATACAAAGATTCTATTACATAAAGTAAATTTGGTAAATCATTTGTGTATAAGATGACATGAAAATTACTTTATATACTGTTACCCTTAGACTTTGTGTATGAATGGTATTTGCCCTTAACAGCTCTCTTCTGAATAACAAAACAGTATCCATGCCCCTTGGGGCCGTAGTAATTCCTTGTTGATCTGTTTGCCATCATATATAACAAATGCTTTCTGTGGTCATTTTCTATCCTTGTACTGGCCCCTAAAACAAGTAGCAGCTTGTTATGTGCCATTTATTTAACAGTTCCTTAATTGTGTCATTGGGAGAGTATATTAATTATCTGACCTCTTGTAATTGTCTTTTTTCTTTAATATCTCAATTATTTTACCTCTATGAACAAAATAGTTCACACTGATTTAAGTGCTTAGTCTTGAAGAGGGAAGAAGATGAAACTGGAGTTTTTTCCTCTGTTGTAAGCTAATGACCCAGAAAGGATTACCAGAGTCAGTTAATTGGTGTTGAGTGTATTCTGCTAATACCTACATTTTATTTTTTTTTGTACTTATTTACAAGTTGAGCCCCGTTTTCCATTTTTTTCTTTTTCTCAGGTATCTATTTTATTTTCCTCCTGTTGCTTATCATTTAGGTATATAAGTGATATCCACTAGCATTGCTTTAATTCTGCTGGTGACACTCAAAGATGGCACAGTTTTACTAAATCCTTATTCTTTTCACTCTTTTGCTAATTTACTTGACTAGATATCTAGAAAGTCAGGTAAGCATCAGCTCTTTGTTGACTGAGAATAATAGAATAATTGCAAGATACTAATTTGCATACATTTACCTGTTTCATTTATTGTTTTTTCCTTGTTCGTTTATTAACATTTTGAGTCATTTACATACCTGCATTACTTTATCTCTTTCCTATGGCCAGCTCACTGTCCTTTTCTGTAAAACATAGCTTTCTCAAGGTTGGGAAACAAGATCTGAATACTATAGAAAATTATAGTTGTATTTTTTTCTGATCAAATATTAAGGACCCATAATGGCTCTGGGATTTTTTGGTGTGTGATATTTTTATATCACATTTTCTTTAAAAGCTCATCTATTTATATTCATTTATTTTTACTTGAGTATTTTACTTCTATTAGATTTTTTAAACAGTTAAATGAATTTATATTCAAATTTGTTTAATGGTAATATGACTCTTGTATAATTTAGAGCATTGTTTCTGTACCTCAGGAAGCAGAATATGGTGGACATGATCAGATAGATTTGTATGATGATGTCATCTCTCCATCTGCAAATAATGGCGATGCCCCAGAAGATCGAGATTACATGGATACTCTCCCGCCAACTGTTGGTGATGATGTGGGAAAAGGAGCAGCACCAAATGTTGTCTATACGTATACTGGAAAGAGAATTGCATTGTATATTGGAAACTTAACATGGGTAAGTAAAGTTAATACAAGAATTAAATTATTAGTAATTTATTTTCCAACTATTTTAGTAGTAATGTTTTTGTCCAATTTTTTTAAAAAAGATTTATTTATTTTAAAAGAGTTAGGGGAAGAGACTGGAATCTTCCGTCCACTGGTTCACTCTCCAAATGGCTACAATAGCCAGGGCTGGGTCAGATGGAACCCAGGAGCTTCAACTTCATCTCCTTCATGGGTGGCCCATAGCATTTGTGCCATCTTCTGATTTCCCAGGTCCATTAGCAGGGAGCTGGATCATAAGTGGAGTAGCTGAAACTCAAATCAGCATCCACATGGGATACTGTGAAGACTTAACCTTGCAAAGCACTGACCCCATTTGTCCAGATTTTTAAGCTAAAAATTTGAAATTATCATATTTGTTTTTCGGTATGTTTGTGCAATGAGGGGAATAGCAAGTACGTTTAAGACATTAATTCCAGTTCTTCTAGTTTCAAATTTTGTGGTCATTCAATTTAATAGACATATCAGTTAAGTAGTTAAATTATTTATTTAAGAGGTGAGAGGAAGACAGAGAACGGTCTCCCATCTGCTGGTTCACTCCCCAAATGGCCGCAATAGCAGTGTCTGAGCTGATCTGGAGCCAGAAACTTCCCCTGGGTTTCCCACACGGGTGCAGGGACCCAAGGTCTTGGGCCATCTTCTCTACTGCTTTCCCAGGCCATAGCAGACAGCAGGATCAGAAGAGGAACAGCCAGGACTTGAACTGGTGCCCATATGGGATGCCAGCACCACAGGTGGAAGATTAACCTGTGCGCCATAGTGCCAGCCCCGAGTTAAATTATTTTTGTTCTCAATTATCTTTTTGATGTTATTGCTCCTCTCAACTACAGATATCCCAGTTTATTATGAAAAATGCTGCATAAGGATCTCAAACAAGGAATCAGAAACATCAGAGAGATGACAGTATTATTCTTGTTTTTAAGATTGCAAATATTTTCTAATTCATATTACAGTTTCAGTTCTCTTAATTTTGAAATCTGATTTATAGAAACACTGCCATGTATATTGTGTTTTCATTAGCTGCATGTCCAGGATAGACAAGGGCACTTTAAAAAGTTTGTGGAAAATGGAATTAACAGTATGGTTGGTAGCAAGTGGTTAAGATGCCTTCATCCTGCTAATACTGACCATGGGAAGCAGCAGTGATGGCTCAAGTTAATTAGCTTCCTGTCACCCATGTAGGAGTCCTAGGTTGGTTCCTGGCTTCTGCTGCAGCCATTGTGGACATTTGGGGAGTGAACCAGCTAACAGGCACTCTGTCATTGTTTCTCTCCTCAGTTTTTAAAAATTTAAAGGTAGGGGCCGGCGCTGTGGGTTAATTCTCTGACTGCAGTGCCAGCATCCCATAGGGGCGCTGGTTTGAGTCCAGGCTGCTGCTCTTCCAGTCCAGCTCTCTGCAGTGGCCTGGGAAAGCAGTAGAAGATGGCCCAAGTGCTTGGGCCCGTGCATCTGAGTGGGAGACCTGGAAAAAGCTCCTGGCTCCAGGCTTCAGATCAGCTCAGCTCCTGCTGTTGCAGCCATTTGGGGAGTGAATCAGTGGATGGAAGACCTTTCTCTCTGTCTCTCCCTCTCACTGTCTGCAACCTCTCAAATAAATAAATAAAATTTTTAAAAAAGAAATAACTTAAAGGTAGGTATTTTGGTACAAAATAGTTTTGGGATCCATGCATACATGGAGTCTTCAAGTTCATAAGAAATGTTGTGAAAAACAATGCATGGATTTAAAATCTTTTTGTACCACCAACTTACCTTTAAATTCCATTTTCTAAAATCTTTTTGTGTGTACCCTCCTATTTTTACTAGTATAGAATCTTAAACTTATGCACTGAAATACTCATAGAATGTTTACAGCTCTACTTAGTTTTTCATATACTTTAAAAAACCACACTTCAGAAAGGCAAATAAACTTTATACCTTGACATTTTATTAATAACTTTTTAAAAAGGTTTACGTATTTATTTGAAAGAGAGAGAGAGAATGCACTCGTCCTATCTGCTGGTTCACTCCCCAAATGTCTGCAATGGCCTGGCTGGGCCAGGCAGGAGCCAGGAGCTTCATCTGGGTCTCCCACATGGGCGCAGGGACCCAAGCACTTTGGCCGTCTTCTGCTGCTTTCCCAGGCACATTAGCAGGGAGCTGGATCAGAAGTGGAGCAGGCAGGTTTTGAACTAGCACCCATATGGGATTCTGGTGTCACTGGTGGTGGTCCCAATAACATTTTAAATTATTTTATTTACATTTCTTTTAAAATTAAGTGTGAGTAACTTCCCAGCCATCAGTCTCTGCCGTCTTCACAATATTGGAAACAGTAGCAGTGTAGATAACAGTGTGGTTATTGAGTAAAAATTTGAATCTTGGTTTCACCCTCTGTTAGTTTTGTGTAAAGGGCAAGCTCTTTAACCTCTCTGTTGCATCATTAACATGGGAATTATCATAGAATTTATGGGATTGCTTTAAGAGAACAAATCTGTCTTATCTCTGAGGGCATGTATCTTTTAATTTCCAAAAAGTGTTACCAGAGAATGATTCTTGTGGTTTTGTGCTATTTAACATTGGAAATTGACTGGCGGTAGCTGTACTTTATCAGCATTGAATATCCATTTTCTCTCTCTTTTTCCCCCCCCCAAGTTTACCTTTAAAAACTAAATTCAAAGAATAAAAATCTTAATGTCTTAATGGTTGATGGGTAAAATGTCTTGCAGTGGACAACAGATGAAGACTTGACTGAAGCAGTCCATTCTTTGGGAGTAAATGATATTTTGGAGATAAAATTTTTTGAGAATCGGGCAAATGGCCAGTCAAAGGGGTAAGATCTTGCTTTCTTTATTTCCTAATATAAGTAGCTAGTGATTACAGTTTATAAGTTAACTTTCCTTAAAGTTAATGCTGATTACACATGTGTGGAACAAATGATTGTCTACATTGGAAGGAGGATCGTGGGCCAAGAGTCATACTCAAAACCAATGGAGTTGATTATGTGGACAGTTTAGGCCTATATTCCTTTCTAATTATCCTGAGTTTTCTCCATCTACGGTTGAAATGAAATGACAGTTTTAAGAAGCATTACTCCCTGTGGTTAAGAGATGGGGGAAGATGGGCAGCTGGAGAATACTGTGAGTAACATGAATGTTTTGCCTTTTTTTTGTTTAAACTACTAAACTATGCAAGTGAAGTAGGATCATTATGTAAAAAATAACAAACTACAAGATATCCAAAGTAAGAAATGCAATGCCATAATCTCATTATCCATAGATAGTCTTAGCATTTTACTGAATTTACTTTTAGGTTTTTACTTAAAAAATAGTATGACAATACACGTTTCATAGCAAATATTTGTCAGTAAATAGATATCTTTTCTAATAATGTCTAATTCTTTTCCATTGTATCTTGTATGTTACTGTAATTTACTTTGCCTTTTTGGTTATCTTGATTGTTTCTACTTTTGCCTGTTAATAAATACTGTAGCAGGCATTATTTTATAAACATTTTCAGGTGTAGATTTTAGTTTTTTTTTTTTTTTTTTTTTGATAAATTGCCAGATGCAGAATGATAAGGAATGTTTGTTTTATATTGTTTATCATATGAGTTTATATTAAACTAAGAATATTTTCAAAATATACACAGAATCAAACCAGTTCTCACCAACTTCACTTCTACAACTTGGTACAAACCACTGTTACTTCTCAGTTGAACTTTTGCAAGAGCTTCCTTGCTGGTGTCCTTGCTTTACCCAAATTCGTTCCATTCTTCTAAATTGCATGGGTGATGTCTGACCTGCAGGCCATAGAAGGCCTACAAAACCGATTGGTCTGGCTCTGCTGAGGCAACCGCAGGCAGGATTCAAAATTCAATAATTCTATAATATGCTAATTTTTTAAGGTTATAATTTTATATGGCCCACAAATGATATTATTAATGTCCAAATGACCCTTGACAGAAAAATGGTTCCCTGCCCCTGCTTTAAGTTTAGGGCTGGCACTGTGACATAGTAGGCTAAACATTTCACCTGTGGTGCTGGGATCCGATATGGGTGCTGGTTGTAGTTCCGGCCGCTCCTCTTCTGATCCAGCTCTCTGCTATGGCCTGGGAAAGCAGTAGAAGATGGCACAAGTGCTTGGGCCCTTGCACCCACGTGGGAGACTTGGAAGAAGCTCCTGGCTCCTGGCTTCGGATCAGCACAGCTCCGGCCATTGCGGTCGTTTGGGGAGTGAACCAGCGGATGGAAGACTTGTCTCTCTGTCTCTCCCTCCCTCTCTCTCTCTCTGTAATTGTCTCTCAAATAAAATCCTTTAAAATAAAAGTTTAAAAAAAAGTGACCTCGGTACTTGTCTTGCTCAGAATCTTTGAGTGACTTCCTTTCCCAGTCATTACCATGTCATCGCCAAGATGATGTATGATCTGTGTTTTTCTGCCCCTCTCTAACCTTATTCCTTATCACTCCTTTTTCAGCCACATTAGTCTCTTTAAGACTTTCTCTGTGCAGAACAGTACCTTCTTCTATTTGCTTTTAGTTTTTGTTTATATGTATTTCACTTCTGGGCTTATCTTTTCCCAGCAGATTGTAAGCTTCACAGGGGCGGAGATACTGTTTTGTGCACTGTTATGTCCGCAGCCTAGGATGGTACTTGGCATGTAGGAAGTGGTACTGAATAATTATTCAATAAATTAAGTAGTTTCTTAAGTGTTATGACTCAAGAAAACTCTAGATCATGTAGCAAAATCTGTTGAGTAGAATAAAGGATCTAGTTAAAGGGCTACATTAGGGAGAAAAAAATTACCCCCCATTAATCTATGCTATCTGGTAATTGTACAAATTGATAATCTTTCAGTTTTTTTAAATGCATGTATCTCCGAGATACAGTTTTCATATACTAAAATTTCACTCTTTTAAAGTGTACCATTCAGTGATTTCTAAAATATATTTATAAAGCTAACCACCATTGCCCCTAATTGCAGATCATCTCGTCTTAGAAATTCCACACCCAAATGCAGTCATAATATGTTATCCTGTGTGTCTGGCTGCTTTTACTTAGTATGTTTTCAAGGTTTATCCGTGTTGCAGCATATGTCAGCATTTCTTTCTATGGATGAGTACTTTTCCATCATTGTGGATATAGCACTTTATCTATTTGAGAGGCAGAGAGAGAGAGAGAGAGCAAGCTTCTTTCTGCTAGTTTACTCCCCCAGATGCCTGCAGCAGCCGGGGGACTGAGGCTTGGAGCCAGAAGCTTATTCCAGGTTTCCTGGAACACAACAGGTGGCAGGAACACAACTACTTGAGCCATCACCACTGCCCCTCAAGGTCTGCATTAGCAGAAAACTGGAATCAGGATTAGGAGCTTGGAGGTGAGCCTAGGCAGATGGAGCAGTTTTAAAAAAAAACAAAAACAACTCTGCTTGTTTATGGACATTTGGGCCGTTTGACTTTTGGTGATTAAGTAAAATGCCACTGTGAATATTTGTGTTCCAACTTTGACCATGTATTTTTATTCTGTTGAGTATATAGAATAGAATTACTGGATTGTATGATGAACTATAGCATCTTTCCATTGTGGCAAAAAAGTGGAAACACTCCAGATGCCTATGAATTGATGGATGGGTTTTTTAATCTTGTAGCTCTGCAATGAAATTTTACTCTGTCAGAAGAAGAAATGCAGTGGTAACAACATGGATAGTACGTGAATACATGCTAAGTGAAAGAAACTGGTCATAAAGGACCACGTAGTGTGTAATTCTGTTCACGTGCAGTGTATGGAACAGGCAAATCCCGAGAGAAAGACTGGGGGAGCTCCCATCCATTTGTTCATTCCACAAATGCACAGTGGCCCTCTTCTGGGGCTGAGACTGGAAACTGAATTCAGGTCTCCCATTTGCATGGTGGGAACTCGGTCACTTAGGTCATCATCACTGCCTTCCAGGATCTGTGTACATGAGCAGGAAGCTGGAGTCAGGAACTAGAGATGGGTCTCAAACCCAAGTACTCTGATAAGGAATGTGGGCATCTTGACCACTAGGCTAAACACTTGTCCCAAATTAGACATTCTGACTGACTTTTATAATAATTTATGAAAATATTTTATAGAAAATGAAGTGAATTTTATAGCTTTAAGAAATATTTTCAGGAGCTGGTATTGTGGTACAGTGGGTTAAGCATCCACTTCAGATGCAGGCATTTGTAATAAGCACCAGTTTGAGTCCCAGCTGCTCTGATTCCCACCCAGCCCCATGCTAATGCACCTGGGAAAACAGCAGAAGATGGCCTGAGTACCTGGGCCCCTGCCACCCATGTGGGAGTGCTGGATGGAATTCTAGGCTCTTGGCTTGAGTCCGGCCCAGCTCTAGCCATTGCAATCATTTAGGGGAGTGAAACAGTGGATGGAAACTATTTCTCTCCTCTCTGTCTGTCTCTCTCTCTGTCTCTGTCTCCGTCTCCATCTCCCCTCTTCCCCCTCCCTCTCTCACACTCCCTCCATAACTCTCTTTATCTGTAACTCTGCATTTCTAATAAATATTAAAAAATTTTTTCAGTTTTTTTTTTAAATTAGGTAAAAGTAAATTCAGACCATTTCCTTTTCAATAAATGTAATGTGTAATATTGGGCTGATGTTGTGGCTCAACAGGTTAAGCCACTGCTAGTGACAGCTGCATCTGTTATGAGTGTCAGTTTGAGTCCCAGCTACTCTGCTTCCAATCCAGCTTCTTGCCAGTGTGTCTGGAAAGGCAGTGGAAGATGGCCCAAGTACTTGGGCCCCCACAGCACATGTACAAGACCAGGATGGGGTTCGTGGTTCCCAACTTCAGCCTGGCCCAGCCTTGCTTTAGGGATCATTTGGGGAGTAAACCAGCAGATGAAAGCTCTGTCTCTCTCTATATGCCTTTCCTCCTTATCTGTTGCTCTACTTTTCAAATAAATCCTTTTTAAAGATAGCTGTAATATTAATCCCTCCTCACTTTCTGCCCTCACCCCTTTAAACATCTTTTAGGTTTGCCCTCGTTGGTGTTGGATCTGAAGCATCTTCAAAAAAGTTAATGGATTTGTTGCCTAAAAGAGAACTTCATGGTCAGAATCCTGTTGTAACTCCATGCAATAAACAGTTCCTGAGTCAATTTGAAATGCAGTCCAGGAAAAGTAAGCAATTCCCCCCAGAGGCTTTTATTCAAATATGTTCATTTTAACCAGTTAGTAGCATGTATTAGATGTTATTAGGGAAATCATTGTAATAGTTCATTGGGGAATCACCCCAGAAAAGGTCCTGTTTTAATTTAACCACTGATTATGATTGTGGGCCCATGTACAGAGAACCAGCTCCCGTTCCATTTTCCTCCTGATGTCACAGACCTGCTACTATGCAACAGTGTTCATGTTCAATAGTGCTGCCATTCTTGTCCTGTCATTCTCATCTCAGAGAAAAGATCTAGATTCTAATTCTTAGATTGGAAGAAAGCTATATGGATGTGTGTTATGGTGTGGGAGACCACTGATAACCAGAAAATATTTGTTGATTTTCTGCTTGGCACCAAGACCTTTCACCACTTGGTAAAGTGAGTGTAGAGAAGACTTGCATTGCACACACCAAATATTATCATTGAAAGCAATAAGATGGATGACCCTGCAATTCACAGAGATTCAAGTGGTTGTTTTTCTTTTAGTGTTTTAGCACTTAAGACATAACTGAAGAATATGTTACAAATTTTAAATGATCTCTTTGCTACTGAAATTAAGATTTCTGTTGAAGAATTTCAGTCTTGGCTGCTGCAGAGTACTGGTATTTTGAAAGTGATTCATTTAATCATTGGAAATATATTTAAACTGGTATTTTGAGACTTAAATAGATGTGATTGTTTTCCTAACCAATACTTTTTATGTAGCTTGCACAGGCCCAAGGCATCTGAAAGTTAATATATAGCGTAAATGGACTTTGAGGTAGAATTGTTTCTAGTAGCAGTGGTTACATTTCAAAAAGCTGTTCTAATAAGTGCTATTTATGAGTATTTGGATATTTGCAGCTACACAATCAGGACAAATGTCTGGGGAAGGTAAAGCTGGTCCTCCAGGAGGCAGTTCACGTGCAGCATTTCCACAAGGTGGTAGAGGACGGGGCCGTTTTCCAGGGGCTGTTCCCGGTGGGGACAGATTTCCTGGGCCAGCAGGACCAGGAGGGCCACCCCCTCCTTTTCCAGGTAAAATTTTACTTAAATTACCATGGATAAAACATGTCTACCTAATACCTCTTTTCCTTTTCTCTCTTTTTCAAGTAATGCATTATTAATGTGACTTACTCTCCTTGTTATGCTATTTTTGGAATCCAGGAAATTTGATCAAGCATCTTGTTAAAGGAACTCGGCCTTTGTTCCTGGAAACTAGGATTCCATGGCATATGGGGCACAGCATAGAGGAAATACCCATTTTTGGCCTAAAAGGTCTTTATTTTTCTCCAAACTTGCTTGACTTATATATAGAATATTTACATCAGTCTTATTTTCTTACCTCTTAAAAATCCTTTCAAGACCATTTTTCCTCGTTTCACTTTCTAGCTTGGCATCAGAGTAGAATATAAGGTGGGTGATTTCACTGTAAGAAGTGTGTGTACACTGAAAGATGGAAAATATTTCTAAGCACTGTAATCTTTTTTAGTAAAGTTTTTGTTTCAATAATTTTTGCTAAGCATAAATTGAGCTAGTTAAATTTGTAAGGATATCCTTCACCTTTGTAGTTGTTAGCGTAGCATTTACCTTATGGGTTTTGTATAAAGAGAATTTTGGTCTGTGAGTTATGCTTTAAAAGTATAATAATCTTGGCATATAAATGTTAAAAGTATCTTTGTTATTAAAATATTTTCTCTCTCTCTCTCTCTCTCTCTCGTTTATTCTATAGCTGGACAGACTCCGCCACGTCCACCCTTGGGTCCTCCAGGCCCACCTGGCCCACCAGGTCCTCCACCTCCTGGTCAGGTTCTGCCACCTCCTCTAGCTGGGCCTCCTAATCGAGGAGATCGCCCTCCACCACCAGTTCTCTTTCCTGGACAACCTTTTGGGCAGCCTCCACTGGGTCCACTTCCTCCTGGCCCTCCACCTCCAGTTCCAGGCTACGGCCCCCCTCCTGGTCCACCACCTCCACAACAGGGACCACCTCCACCACCAGGCCCTTTTCCACCTCGCCCACCTGGTCCACTTGGGCCACCCCTTACACTCGCTCCTCCTCCGCATCTTCCGGGACCACCACCAGGTGCCCCGCCGCCAGCTCCACATGTGAACCCGGCTTTCTTTCCTCCGCCAACTAACAGTGGCATGCCTACATCCGATAGCCGAGGTCCACCACCTACAGACCCATATGGCCGACCGCCACCATATGATAGGGGTGACTATGGCCCTCCAGGAAGGTACGTTAATTTGCAGCAATCAGAGTGTTTCATTGGTAAAAGATGGTTGTTTTGTAGGAAAATAACATGGAAATGTAGCTAACATCAAAAACAGCTAGTGTAAAGTGCTTTACACTGTTAAGTCTAACTTAGAAAATCTGTTGGGTTTGACTTAAAGTTTCTTTCTGTTTTAAAGGGAAATGGATACTGCAAGAACACCATTGAGTGAAGCTGAATTTGAAGAAATCATGAATAGGAACAGGGCAATCTCAAGCAGTGCTATTTCAAGAGCTGTGTCTGATGCCAGTGCTGGTTTGTATATTTTTTCCTATATTCATAATTTTTACTTATGTGAAATGATCTAAACTTAAAAGCAGTCCGAAAGATATGTCATTTACGTTTAATAGTTCTTTTTGTATTCTCAAATTGTTATAAAGTATTGGAGAAAGCAGTACTCACAGTATAGCAGAAAGACCCCACAATTGTAAGTTATCAAGTGTTGATTTAAGTATTGGCCTTGACATTTAATGGTTTCAGAGACCTTCAGACAGCTTATTCAGTCTCCTGTTTACAAAATGATAAACTGTTTGACACAGCTTCGGTGATACCAGATTTTGTTAATTTGATCAATTTTAGCTTTTGCAAGTTTTGAAACCAAAAAGACACTGTTTTCTGTGATTGTTTTGAGGTGCACTACTTGAGTAAAATACTTTGCCACTCTTATCCCTACGTGGCTTGGCAGTGTTTCCCAACAAAAGTTACTGTTTTTAAGGTTTATTTATTCATTTGGTTGAAAACCAGAATACTCAAGTGCCTGCAACAGCCAGTGTTGGACTAGGCTGAAGCCAGGGGGCCAGAACTCCACTGGGTTCTCCTATGTGGGTAGCAGGGATCCAAGCAACTATTACGTTCCCAAGCACATTAGTAGGAAGCTGGATTAACAGTGGAGCCTCTGAGACATTAACTTGCATTCTAATGTGGATGTGGGTACTCCTAGTAGTGGCTTAACTTGCTGAGCCACACCAGCCCTCCCCAAAATTTGCTTGACTTCAATGCCTTTCTTTTCCTCTACAGGTGATTATGGGAGTGCTATTGAGACTTTGGTAACTGCAATTTCTTTAATTAAACAATCCAAAGTATCTGCCGATGATCGTTGCAAAGTTCTTATTAGTTCTTTGCAAGATTGCCTTCATGGAATTGAGTCCAAGTCCTATGGTTCTGGATCAAGGTAAAACTTTCCTGTCTCCTGTCTGTTGAAACCTGCTAGTTTACAAAAGGAAAAAATACTGTGTTTGGGACTTTAAAACAAAAGTTTGATGTACTTACTGTTTACTTAGCAGCTGGAATGATTTTTTTAAACTCTTAAGTCAGATGTTAGGTGTTTGCTTAAAACCCGTCAAAGGCTTCCACTTAGGCTTACTTCTTGTACTTCTCCCCATACTCACTCTAGCCATATTGATCTGTCTTTTCCTCTGGGCACATGAAGCATTTGACCATCTTACTGATTTTGTACTTGGTATTCCTTCTCCTGGGAACCCTTTTCCCTGGCTCTTCACATTCCCTGGCTCCTTATCCTTCTCCTTGTCTCAGTCTAACTTCTTAAGAGGGTCTTCTCCCAGGTTAGTCTGTCATATCCTTCTCTTACTTGCCGTAACCTATTCTTATTTGTTACTTGTATTTCATCTCATTAGAACATACTGAATGATAGCAGGGATTTGATCTAACCTACCTGCTACAGTTCTGTATTTCTAATGCTTAAACTTTGCCTGGTACAGTGTGGTGCTGAGTGAGTGAGTGAGTGAATGAATGAATGAATGTAGTTCCTTGCTTTCAGAATTCCTGCCAACTGCCCTGGAAAGGTGTCTTTTTAATCCTCACATAATCTCCCTTTAGTATGTTATCTGGTAGTAGAGTCATCTTTATTATTAAGGGAAAGGAGTTTGTCTTTGGCAGTTCCAACTTTATAATTACTGCCTTTTGACTTAGCTTATCTTTTTATCTGAACCAGTTGGTCAGAACTAACAGCATATTAAATACCATCATCTTACACTTTTTAGTCCAAGTAAGAACTTCTTTGATAAAGGAGCTTATTAGCCCCTAGCAATGTTTGATAAAGTCTGTCTGGTACAGAAATACAAGATTAAAATATTCTTACTTAAACTAATGGACAATTATTATTTCCTTATTGTGAATTTAGCAGAATTTCTAAAAGTCTTATAGGCAGTAAACTTTGAATAAATTTTTTTTTTGTTAAACTGCTTGTGAAACATTTCTACTTGATAAATACAGTGTGGATGCTGTACTAATCTTTGCTCTCCCTTCTCCCCTAAAAACTGTTAGTGTATATTAGAAAGTTTCCTAGTGGAGTACATGTGCTGCTGGTGAATCATACTTTGTTAGAAAGGTAAAATTGATAATTATGTGCAGTTGTCCCTCAGTATCCATGGTTCCCAGGACTCCTACAGATATCAGAATCTGTTGTTACTCAAAGTCCTTCATGTAAATGGCCCAGGGTTATTTGCATATGACCTGCCAGCATTTTCCCATATGCTTTAAATCATCTATAGCTTACTCATAATACCTAGTACAATGTAATTACTATGTCAACAGTTGTTATTTGTATTGTAAAGGAATAATAATAGGAAAAAAGTTGTTTTATATGTGTTCAGTATAATCACAATTTTTCTCTGAATATTTCCAATCTTCTGTGGCTTGAATCCAGAGATACAGAATCTGCTGATAGGGAGGACTGTGTAGGTTTAGCTCACCTATGTTGATAGGCACCTTTTTTTTTTTTTTTTTTTTTTTTTAAGTATTTTGGTTGCATTGTATGAATGATTTTTGTGAATTTTGTGTCTTTAAAAACTGTTCTAGATATTCTTGAACTTTGAACGCAAGTGCTTTGAAATTTGCCCTTTTGTTTCTATTCTTTCAGTAAATACTGTTTTAGGCTCCTTCTTTAAATGTTGTGATATGTTTCTGATTTCCATATTTTTCGCAAATATTTTAAAAAATGAAATTTCTGGTACATCTCTGAGTTGGAAAATCATTGGCAGTTTGTAGTAAGCTTGGATTTATAAACAATTTTCAAACACCAGAATACAGGGGATATGTTCTAGGAACCTCATTGGGTGTCTGAAACCATGAATATAGTACTGAACCCTAAAATTTAATGCCTTTTCCATCTGAACTAAGCACATATTACATATTATTATAACTTTTGCAGCTTGAAGTACAACAGCAAGACTGGTACAGATTTCCCTTCATGATTTCATAGACGCAGGATTTGCTCTTACAGATCCTAGCAACCTGAGCATATGATTATTTTTTCCTTTCCTTATTAAGTTGAGAACTTTCATCTTTTCACTTGAAGGGCATACTTTCACATAAAGTTAAATATTCCAAATTGACAGCATCAATAACTACTTTTGTACTTTGAGGCCCTTATGTAAAACAAGGGTTACCTGAATGCAGGCACTATGATCCCTTGAAAGTCAATCTGATAAGCAAGAGAGCCGCTCATTGGCTAAGGGTTGGTTTGTATGTATGACAAATATATTGAACAAAGTATGGTTTATATCCAATCTGGACACAAAGGAATAAGTTAAGCTACTCATAACCAGCATGTAATTTAAAACTTAAGAATTATCTATTTTGGGGATTTTTCCATTTAATATTTTTCAGACCACTGTTGACCACAGGTAGCTGAAACCACAGAAAGTGAAACCCATGTTTTAGAGGGGATGTACCTTTTTTAAACTCTCCAATTATGGAGAGCATTAATTCAGTAATTTCTTTTAGAAGACGTGAACGATCAAGAGAGAGGGACCATAGCAGATCACGAGAAAAGAGTCGGCGTCATAAATCCCGTAGTAGAGATCGTCATGATGATTACTATAGAGAGAGAAGCAGAGAACGAGAAAGACACCGGGATCGGGACCGAGATCGGGACCGAGAACGTGACCGAGAGCGAGAGTATCGTCATCGTTAGAAGGTGGGTATTCCTTGTTCCTGTTATATTTAGTGTGTGTTATTAGCAGCAGTTATAACTCCAAGGCTGTTCATACAGTATATATCTACATTTTAAGTGATCCAACTACTTGTTCTGAATTTAATCTTCTGAAAACATCTGAGACAAATAATAGGTAAGTGATGACAGGTAAAAATTTTGACTTTTTATCCTGGAAATTGTATTGCTGAGTTGTTACTTTCAGGCTTCAGATTGTTATGATCTTAACAAAGCAAGAAAAATAATCAAGAGGACTCATTGTGTACTTCTAAAACCTAAAATTTGGAATTCTCATCACATAATTTGCATGTGACTTTAGAGTATTTAAAATACAAAGTACAGGAAGTTATTTCAGATACAAATATTATGTGCTTGGACTCCTAAAAATTAAAGTTTTTATCCTTGAATTAATTTCATTTGTCCCTAAAACAAGAAAATCTGCCATTGTAATAGTTTAACACAGGAGAATGTTACCTCAGCATTGAAAGTATTTTTCTATAAAAACAAAACAGTATTTTAGGAAAATTACTGTTGCCCTGGCATCTGATTTTTGGGTTTTTTTTTTTTTTAATAAAAGAGAAGAAGCAGTATAAAATTTGCAAAGAAGAAATAAGTTTCTTGATTAAAATGGGTTCAACTTAAAATTTTAAATTATGTGAAAGACATACATCCTAGATTAGAATAACCTTGAAATAATTTTATTTGATGTTTCATTCATAAATCATAATCATTGTCTTTTTTTCTGTATTTTAAAACTATTTCTTGTGTGCATTTTTCATGAAGTGGGAAGAGTTGTCTGTTTATGGTTCATTTTCACATGTAATTTTATTTTTATATTTGTGAACAGCATTTATTCACGTGAAGAGTTTGGGGAAAGCACTATAAGGCTATGCATGTAACACAAAGGTTACTCTGTAAACAAAAATTTTTTTTATTTGTTGCTGGTATAGCCAAATTAAATTAGGCTAAAACAAAACCCTCCCTTTATGTGGTTATTTTTCATAATACTGGAAAACTTACTGAAAATTCAGTCCTGGTAATTGCTAGCGTTTAAATTGTAATGGGCAAAATCAAAGACTTTATCAAGACTTTATCAAGTGTATGTAACTGTGACAGAATAGTAGTTTCTCTAACCGTAACAGATGTATTAGCAAATGAAATCCTCTTTGAATAAAACTAAGAAAATAATCATGAAAATGATATTTTTTGGAACACTGATAATCTTTTCTACTGTTTAAAATGTTAGGAGCAAGACCAGTTTTCGTACTTTTCCTTGCATTTTGAGTATGTAGCTTGAAAACTTAAATTTCATTACAGTTCTCCATATATTGTATTATAAAATTTAATACAATTCTTAAAAACATTCCTTTAATATGAGATAGGACATCTTTCAGTTTTAAAAGTAAGTTTACTGAAACTGATGCTATGTATGAATGTTAAGAATTGGATGTTGTATCATGTAAATCTAAACACTTAATTTTAAAGATGTAATTTGCCTGCCACCCCTCTGAGTTGAATATATCTGACCCCATCTTACGAAAAAATTTTCAGTGTCCATCTGTTTAAGGAGATGTGGCCAGGTTGTTTCTTCAGATGTTTAACTGTCATTTCATTTGTAGATGGGTGCAAGTTATACAGGGTATATAAATTTCTCAGAAACTGTATCAGCAAGCTTCTAGTTAGTTACTGAAGATATAATGAAATGAATACTTTTTCAGTTATCTCCAAAATTATGTGTGCCCATGAAGGTACCTTTAAACCAATATAAACCCAAAGTTAATTGATGACAATCTTATTTATTTCTGATTTTAGTAAGCTAGTGTAGTCAAACAAGTAAACTTCTGAAAAGCCCATTGTTAATTTTAAATACATGATTTAATAACATCCCAATAATGGTACACTTACGTATGTCATGACTTGAGTTTCATTACATTCAGACATCAACTATGAATTCCTAATGTGCAAACTATTGTTGGCATTTTTCTTAATCACTGATGTACCATACCAAAAATCCCATATTTTGTTTGTACATTAATCAGAATTGAGTTGTAATATTGTTATGTGCCTTCATCCAAGCAAAATTTTATAAAGCATTCCAGCAAAAAAAAAAAAATTGTTATCCTGGATTATTGTGTCTTTGCTATACCAAACAGTATTTATTGTGGAAGTAGACATGATTAAAGAGATGGGATTGGGATTAAGGATACTAAAGTGAAAACCTTGTTTAAACAAAACAAAAAAATCTGCAAATTGCATTACCAATATATCAGGTCCTGTTGACCACTTTAGAAGTTTTTTGAGTCCTTTTGAGCTTTCATGCAAACCTTAAATGGACTAAATGGATTAAGAGTGACTTCAAAGCCAAAGGGAATGTCAGGAGTAAGTCTGTATACAAATAAAATAATAATGTAATCTATTAATAAAGTTATGATGAATGGCTTAAAGGGCAAGTTCTTAACTGAAAACTTGATGATGTCAGCAAGTTGTCAATGTCTGTCCACTTTCCTTTTTTTGTTTCAACTGTTGGTAATGTTGATTGCATTCTCATATTTAAGATGTATTAGTTTTTCTAAGAGCATTCAGTATCTAAGTTCAAATAGGTTACACCCAATGAGAAAATATCAGTATTGTAAATTTCAGTATGTAAATACATTGTGCTTCATATTCTGTAACTTCTGCCTCTATTCTCAGACCACTCTGAGCAAAATAAAAGTGCTTTAAGATTGTATGCTTCTCACAAAAACAATTTTACTTTCATAGTTGAGTTATTTTCTTTGAGGTTGTGTTCCTCTTAGTATTTGGAATAGCCCTAATCAGATTTCTACTTACAGTTCAGTTTTTCTTTGTGTACTAAAGAGTAATGAAGCCAAATTATTTTTTAAAGAACTTTTTATTTAGCCTTTTCCTCTCCCTAATTTGTAAGATTTTACATATTCTGAAACCATTCTCTTTTGATAATATTTTTAAACATGTATGGGGGCTGGATTAAATACCTATTCTTTCCTTGACTGTATGATTACTTATACGGTAAATATTTTTGTCATTGCAAAAGATTTGGGATGCTTTGAGTTGTTAATCAACTGATTAGCTTTGTATTTATTTTGGTACAGAACAAAGCCAGAAGAGTAAAATTCTTTCTTCAGTGTTGTTTCATCTCCTTAAGAGAGTTAGTTGTTGCATTGAGGCTTGTGTGAAAATTAAATTCTTTCAATAACTTGTGGGATGATACTGATTGTAAAATGATAAGGTCATCTAAGCTCTGAGTAATATTTCTGTTACCCTCTGTTTCTCCATGTGTCCTAACTGCTATATCTGAATGTGCTAGCTCTTGTTTCTTTGGCTTCTAATTTACCTTGTTTTTAGTATTTATAAAACGTGTCTGCACAGCTGTCTTAATTAAAGTGATAAGAGAGTAGGAAGTGATCCCTGGATGGATATGTAGTGTTTTGCTCACTGTGGTTTAAGAATATGAGTATAGTTTTGTTTATAAATAATTATCTCTGTTTAAAAAAAAAAGCCAGTGAATCACCTTGCTCTCTTCACCTCATCTCAGTGTGAAATTTACTACCATTGTTTTAGTTTGTAAATGAGATTGTTTTGAGTAAATAATGTTGAACGTTTAGTTAACATTGCTTACTGAAAGCCTAATAGTCAATAAGGGGGAAGGTGTCATTTATGTTCTCCCAGTTTATGAATTCTCTTTCTTTGGTGCCATCTTTAAGTCTCACGGTGAATTCTGAATAACAAACAGCACATTTGAAATGTTCATTTTGTGAATCTTTTTGGGGCAAAGCTGATTTTTCTTTTGACTATGATGAAGTTCATTTCTGCTATTTTAGTAGACTGCCTAGAGCAACAGTCATGTTATAGAGTAGTAAAATACCCCTATTAGAATGAGGTAAGTACTTTTGTTTGGAGATAGGTAAAAATTAGAATGCTTTGGTAGTAGGCAACTTTTTGTAAACATCTACAATAAACAGTTTTTATATAGTATGTTCTGGCCAACAAAAGGAATTTTGATTTGAAAAAGAGTTAACATGTTTTTAGACACTTATTTCACTTGCCCACATCATCTCCATTCCTCTCATTAAGGAGAACTTTTCAGATAAAAGTGAATTTCATTTAAATGAGTTAATAAAATTTTATGATAATCCTCTTTTAATCCAGGTTACTAATATGATAAACCTATAAAAGAGCCCTATATATATATATATATATATATATATATATATATATAATGTTTTACTTAAAAATGATTTTACTATGAGTTTAAAATATGGATATTAACAAATTTGTTTAGATAAATTTCTAACAGAAACAATCATAATGTTACAAATAATTGCTTGATCTTACAGTATCTCAAAGTGGAAGCCCTTCTCTGTGTTGACATTTTACTTGCAGATCATTGTGGTTTACAGACTTGGCTAAAAAGCTGAGGATTCCATTTGTTTCCTAGTTGTATTAACAACTGTTTATGTAGGTCTTCCTTTTATAACTGATGGCTGAGCCAAGTAACTGTGTGGTTTTGACAATATAGATTTGACCAATTGCTATTCTGAAAATATGGGCATTGAATGTATTTGTCACTTTGAAACTTCTTTTTGATATATTTGTTTTTGTAGATGTCTTCTTAGATATTTGAGACTAGTATGGATTGGATTATTGGAAATGGGTTGTATTGCCTTCAAATTTGCTTCTGTTTGAGATTGTACATTTGTATTTTCAAGTGGATAAATGTAAAGTGTCTAGAATTAGAAATAAAAATTGCCAGACCATCCCACAGGTTTTATGTCTATATGATAAAAATGATGAGATTTAGTAATAATTAAGACATACCTATAAAGTATAGGCAAGATAAGTGCATTAGTCCTGGGTAAAGATGTATATTGTAATTTCACAAACAAAATTCTCTATAAAAAGTAGCGAAGTTCTCCATGGGAGTGATAATAATAAAAAGATTGAAATATATGCTGCATGTGTTTTGAAAGGGTTGAATATTACAGTCTTGTTCACTGTATTTTCCCCATTTAACCCATTGTGTCCCATTGTCCTATACATAGGACATCTATACCACTTAATGATCAACAAACATACCACTTATGATAACCTTGCACCTGTGTCAGTTTTTGAAATATTTGTAGAATTGAAAACTTGGGACATAATGGGTTAACAGTCCCTCTCATGTCCATCCCTTCCAACACTACACAGTATACAGGGAGAAGGCATTCTGTTATGAAATTTATGAATTTCCCAGTAATCCTTTTTTCAGATTAGAAAATATGCCTTCTCTCTTTTAATAGTTTACTAGTTTTTTTAAGTTTGTTGCAAAAAATGAAACATTTGAAATCTGCCATTTTAGGAGTTTTTACTATTAAATAATTACACTAAATAGCATTACCACCATAAAGTAAGATGAAGGTACAATACAAGGAAACATTAATAATGGTTTAAGTATCTGTTTGAAAAATATGGGCATATTTTTAGAGAGTTTCAGAATTAACCTTTGTTTTTTCCTTTTGCAGTTGTAAAACTTAAGTTTTTACTGCTAGATAGTGAATACATATGTGTGCTGATGCTCACAACATAGTTGGAATAAAAGGACATGAAGGATAAAATTTATAGTTGAGAGAAATTACTCAATTGTGAAGCAAAACTATTTTTAAATTATTTTTATGGCAGAATATGATGAAAAATTGTGCCCTTAAATCACTATTGAAATGGTGTCTTGGAATTTATATTTTAAGTATCTGATGTTTCAGTAACTTACATCCAAGTTAACTGAATGTTTCTTTTGTGAACCTCTGCCTGAAGTTTGGATATATATGTATTCTTGAAATTTTAGTTCATGAACTTTATATTCTGTTTCTTTTATTTTCGTTATGTGATTTTTCGATGAAATTTTTCAATGTAGATTCTCGTTTAGCTTGTTTTGGTTCTTTAATATAATAGTAGATGGTTTTATATAGATGGAAGAGAATGAAAGGAGAGGAAATGTTTAAAATTTGTATTCTGTCTAATGATTTGTATGTGGATGTCATATTTATTTAAATGTCCATCTTGAGCTATATATATATATATTTTTTGTAACATGGAGCACCATTTGATTTACAACAATTGCAGAAATACCTGTATGCTGTCAAATAGATTAATCTGTAAAATAATATATTGAATTTTATATTCAGTTCAGCATTTGTTAAATGAGTTAGTGTAGAATTGGTACATGGATGAATGAAAGTATTTACATTAAAATCAGGCGTTTTTCCATTTATTTTTGTAGTATGCATATTTTAGAAAATGATTTAATGATGTTTCCATCATCACAGAAACAGTAGCTGCTGTATTTTCATTTATATATCAGTCACTAAATTTCAAAGGCAATAATATCTAAGAAGAATGAAATCATTGTATCAGTTTAAATCATTAGATAAATTGGGAGCCTTTCTCCACCACAAAGGCAGCTACTGTTTCAGTGAGTTCTTACTTTGTGTTAGTACGTAACAGTGAAGTAGATGCACGACTTGTGTATGTATAGTTAAGCCAGCGTTTTTCTGTGTATTTTGGGGAATAGCAAAATCTACATCACAAATTTTGACACATTACAGCTGAAGGAAGAGGAACACCTTCCAAGACAAAACAGCCTTCATGGGGGAAAATGACGCTTGTCCAGCAGTTTGCTTCTTGTGATTGAACTGAACGTGTAAGGATTCATGGATAAAATGAACAGGAATAGATCTGAATAAAGCAAATCTGCATAAATGGTAACCAGTAGCTCTACTTTTATTTTTTATGTTGCTTAACTGTTTTATTTGAAGGAAACCTGTGTGATTTAAAAAGTTATAGCTTTTGCAACTTTATTACTGGTTATATACATTTGGCCATTATAATGTGCAAGCAATTGGAAAAAGTCAAGTATTTGCTTGTTTTTATAGTAGTTTGTTCTTGTTAAAAATGTTCATATGATAATGTCTGTAAACAGCACCACTTTGATTACAATAGATGTAGTGTTGTAATAAACTGTTTAATGGGGCTGATGTGTAAAGCTGTTCAAGTTATTTGATGTTTACACCTCAGGGAAAGTCTTGTGTTCAGCAATATCTAAAGATAATGTTACTATGACAACATTTTTACTGTCCTTTAAAAAAGCATTGCAATAGCGTTTTGGATATGCATCAATCTAATCTTGCGTTCAGTGAATTAAACATACTAATTAAGTGTCTCTTGCCCTTGGTTTTGATATTAGAGTAGGTGATCCCATGGAAATTTAATATTTCTATATTCTGCTTTTCTAGCTGTTTTTACCTAGTTAGCTTGTGATTTTGCTGAATGGTATGTAAACTTGTAAAAACTGAAATTTGACAGATGTAGCAATCCAGTCAATGTGTTAGGAATCAAGAAAATTTGAGATTTTAACATTTTAGTAAAAAAATACCATACATATTTGCTATAGAAATGCAGCTTAATTACAACACAGATGTACTGAAACACTTCATTGTGAACTGCTAGCATTGAAGAGAGATTTTGACAGTTCTGATTTGATGCTGCAGTTATTTGCTGTGTTTTTTATTGATGGTGCTTATGGTTTAGCTTTGAAACCATGGGCAGTGTAAATACAGCCATGCAGCGGATAAATCTGAGTAGAGACCCTCAGTTTTATTTTCCAGTTTGTGTAGATTTCTGAAGATTGTGATACTTATTAACATTGGGCTGTATTCTCCAGTGAGAGTCATGGAAGGTTATAGGCATACCCTGTCTCCATAGTTCAAGGAAGTCTGTGTATATTCATGTAACCTGTTGATTCATGCTAGAGTTATTTAATCAGAGATGTTCTTTCAAACCTGCTTTACATGTAGGAGCACCTGGCTGGTGTGTGTTCTTAATTGCAGAATTTAGCAGAGGCAGAATGTTGACTTGATCAGATATTTTTATAGGAAGGTAATTCTGAATCACTACTTCAGAAATTTGAGTAAAATCCTTCAGCCAGTTAATATGTTTTTAAATATACTTTTAAGATCTGATTTTATCTTTTTGAGAGATCTTTTGGTGATACACATTGTTTTTTAAAGTGTAACCAAATTTTAGAATAATGCTTAAAGTATTAGGTGTACCCTAGATGGTAAACAGTGTGCAGCTATAGAAACCTTCAGAGATTTGCACTGCCATTCTTCAGTCTCTTCTTGTCTGCTGTCCAGTTGCTTCTCACAAAATTAGCTGTTTCAAGTTCTCCATATTACTGCCAGTTTTATTTTAAAACATTTTGTGCTTGGAGTATTTGTGCATGGAATCATTGGTGTTTACAGAACTGTTTGCTCTCAGAAATGATACTTTGTTTTAATCTTGTTGAAATGCAGTTGCCTTTAAACGGTATTTGAGTTGTATCAAAATCTGTTTTCTGTTTTTGTGAATAGGTGTTGTAAGTTTTTGTTATTTCTTAGCTTTTTTATATTTTAATTACAATGTGAAGAAGTATGGGCATAAGTGTATAACAAGAGAAATTAGTTAATAGTAAGATTAAAAGGTAAGTAAAATGTCCATGAGGAAAAGTTTCTCTGAAAAACTTTAAAGTGGAATCGCAAAACTCTTAACTGCACTTGAACTTGGAACAAAACTGGAAATTTTGTACTAATTGCATCCTTTGCCTTTTTTTTATATTAGTGAAACGTGTTAATTTCTCCTTCTGTATCACTCCCCTGCTGGCAGGTCACATTCCATGCTTTTTATTGCAGACAGTGTCAGTGTACTAGAATTACTGCTGCTCGGCTGTTATTTTTAAGTGTTGTCAGAAGGACTTCACTTTTTGGTTTGACCAAGTAATTTGGCAGAGTCCTTCTGTACCTGATAATACATGAATGTGTAGCAGTAAAGGTAAACATTACAAGCCTTTTTTATTCCTCATACCCCTCTTGTTGTTTATGGGCTGATAATATTTTTTTAATTTGTAAGAAAAATCCAAAGAGATAAATCCTTGCATTGACACCAAAAAGAAAAAAGAAAACAGTGTCTCAGACACCTTTTCATTTTTTTCCTTAACTGTAGTTGAGAAGAAAACATTTCAATTGTGTTTTGAACCATAGCATTTATTGGTGCTATGCAGTCACATTCCTTTCAGCCAGTAGTAAAGTGATGGGTGAGTGTTAACAGCACCTGAATGGTACTGCTTCCAAAAGCAGCACTGTGAACTGAAGGTGCTGATTTGGTTCAAGGAATATGTTGTGGGAAGGCTATTCCTGTGTAAATTTGCAAATTTATTTTGTCAAGTTTCATAAGCAAGATTTAGAATAAGTTCTGGCTGTTGATCATAATTTAGCCCATTTAATGGCCCCTTTACTCAAAAGGCTCTTAAGCAGTTAACTGCAATTTAGAGTTTGCAAATAACTTGTAGCTTAAGGTGTTAATTTCATTTAATTCTCCTGTGGAGAATATTGCTTTATTTTTTACTAGTTAAAGGTCAGTTCTTAAAACAAACATGGAGGTTTTAATGAATGTTGTATAATATTTTGTAGTGAAACGGGAAAATAGTTGAAAGGGTAAAGACTTTATCTTTCCCTTATATATATAAATGTGCCAATCACCTAAATACATGCTGTTTTTATATGATGAGATGCTACTACAAAATTTTTCTGTTGGAGTGCTCTCTACATTTTGGTTTTCATATCTGAATGATCATTGCGTTTTCTGTATCTTAAAAAATGGCTCCAGTTTTGTGTTTGAAGCTTCAGCTTAAGTTATCTTAAGAGGAAGTTTATGTTCTAATTCTTTACTGAGAATACAGTATTGAGATTCTCACTGTTTTGTAGATAACTGCTTTTTAAATTTTTATTCATTAAGTTCATTTACATCCCACAGCCCTCTGTAAATGTTTCCCCCAGATGTATGTACCTAAATGCACGCTTATCCATTGTACATATTAGACATTTTTGTGCTAAAATATATTAAGTGGGATTTTTGTAGCAAAGCATTCTATTTTTCTGTTCTTACAGTGTGTGTGTGTGTTTTTTTTTTAACATTAACCTTCAGTTTAAACACTGGTGTATTTTTTTTAAGCAACTTGACTCTTAGAAGCCTTAGACTAATTTTTAAAATAAATATTCAACCAAAAATTATAAATATATTAAGATGTGGCCTTACATATGGCATTCCTTGTGTTTGTAATGTGATATTTTTAATCTAGAGAAATCAAGATTGAAGGTTAAAGTTTTGTAGGTTTAACCATAAAATGTGTTAAAAAGTGTCTAGGCTTCTGGGAAAAAGTTCTTATACTCTTCTTTCTTGACATTAGAAAGAAGCAATATGAGTATGAATATTCAAAATATTCAGGCACTTGTATCTTCAGATTGATTCAGGCTTGTTTTAACTAATGTTTCTTTAAAATTTCAGGTTTTTGGCATTCACTCTCTTGAGTGTGCAGTTACTGTGTTTTTTTTTTTCTTTATGGGTTCTGTAAACCTTGGTTACATACAGATGTGATTGTTTTTGAAGACTTCCTGTTATATAAATTAACATCTCTTGTTATGGGAGTCTTAAAATATTAGGTAGAATTTAATTGAAGTCACACAAATCTTGAAATGATATTTGTGGATAGTAAATACTACAAGAGTTTTTCATGTGGGAGTATCCTAAAACTTCACCATGGGTGTAAATGTTTTACATTAATTTCATAACTGGTTGGACCCTACATTTAGTGAAAGCATTTCATTTTGAAGGTGTGTTCTTTTTGTCCCACGGTTACTGCATAACACTTCTCAGCATTTTGTAAGTTATTTTCAAATATTATGGCAAACTCACGTTTATTTTTTTACTTTGAAAATTGTAGTACTCAGGTGGTATTTAATGGGAAAGGATCCTTTGGGTAAATCATAATGTATTCTAAGGAATGCATCTATAAAGCATTGTTGACTTAGCCTTAAAAAAAGGTCTATTTATTCTTCTTCCTCTCCATCCCATGGTATATTATAGCTAACTAGTTTACAGCCCTGTGCAGCCTTACAAAGTTGTTTTACAATTTTTAATGGAAAGCCCTTAACAGACAAACAAAATGTATATTACCAGTATCCATGAATTACTGAATCAGTTTGTAAATAATTTGTCTAATATCAGAAGGCCAAAGAAAGTCTTAAAATTTTAGCTATTGACTCGTGACTTCACAATAAGATTTCTGTGCAAAAGGTAAGGTATTTGATCAAATAGACATCTTTTTGATGTCCATAAGAACTAGACTTCCATATTAGCTTCTATTAAAAAGCTTTTTCCATTTTATTAAAATGTTTGTAATTACATTTTTGTTTTTAATGTTTACTTTGTCTTTTCTTTCTTTAGCATTTAGGTGACTGTTCAGCAGTTTGCTAGGTGACCATTGTTGGCCCTAAACTGCACTAGTAACAAGCATGGTATTTATCTTGTATTGAAAATAAATAAAAGAGTTTTGATAATACTTTGTAGTTTGTCTTTTTTGTTTCACTTCTATGTTAACTATTGTGAATGATTTTGAATAATTAATTTCTATGGCAATATGCCATACAACAGAAATTGGACTGTTGTCTGAATTTTGTCTTTGAGCCATCCTGCTAGGTAGTGATAATTGTCTTTTCTTTTTATTTCAAGATACAGAGAGATAGAAGAGAGGGAAGACAGACCTTCCATCTGCTGGTTCACTCCCCACATGCCCACAATAGCTGTGACTGGGTCAGACCAAAATCAGGAGCTCCCATTTGAGTTTTCCATGTACCAAGTACCAAGTACTTGAGCCATTATCTGCTGTCTTCTCAGGCACATTAGCGGAAATTGGGTTGAAAGCCGAGTGGCTGGGATTCAAACCCACACCCTGATCAGACTGTGGGTATCCCATGCAGCAGCTTAACCTTTTGTACCACAACACCTGCCTCTATAGGATACTTTTGAAATAGTAACAAATTAGTTTCAACAAATATTTTTGTGCATGTATTACATCATGCCCCAGATTTCTTGCAAGCTTTAAACTTTGTTGAAAGTGACAATTGTAAATGATTGAATTTATGAGAAGTAGGAAGCTTCCATGACTGGAATTGCTTTCCAACTTTTTTTTTTTTTTTTAAGATTTATTTATTTATTTGAAAGTCCGAGTTAAACTAAGAGAAAGAGAGGCAGAGAGAGAGAAAGATCTTCCATTCGCTGGTTCACTCCCTAATTGGCCGCAACAGCTGGAGCTGTGCCGATTTGGAGTTATTTCCAGGTCTTCCCATTTGGATGCAGGGGACCAAGGACTTGGACCATCTTCTACTGCTTTCCCAGGCCACAGCAGAGAGCTGGATCAGAAGAGGAGCAGCCAGGACTCAAACTGGTGCCCATATGGGATGGCAGCACCGCAGGCCATAGCTTTACCTGCTGTGCCACAGTGCTGGCCCTGCCCCTCCCTTTCCATACTTTAACCAAAATGGTAGTTGAGGTTTTGTTAATGTCCATATTACTCTTGTGTTATGTGTCTATATTTTGAATATTGCATTCAGTGACCCACATGTGTCTAATTAATTGTCTTTGGCTGTAGGGACAGGACATTTAACTGTCAGAAAAGATGATTAGGGACACATTTTTTTTCCTAAATGGCACACCAGCCGCGGAGGAGTCTGTGAAAACTCCGTGGAGGAAGGAGATGCTTTTTACAGAGGGAAGTTTTTCCAGTCTTCTAAGTATAATTTCCATTGCTGTTTTAGGTCTTTGTCTCCCTTTTCTGTTTCATTAGTATTTTCATATGGCTATCAGCTATTGTCAGTTCCAGGTAAAAGATACACATTCTGTACCTCAAAACCCACCGCATTTATTTGTAGGAAAGCATCAGAAAATACAATTTGCTTACTGAAATCAGTAAGTCGAGACAGTAGCTTTGGGTACAAAGAGACACCTCTTCCCCAGGAAAGAAGAAAAGGATTGGTACAAATACATGGGATGTCGTGGACTCTAGGTAGGTGGTGGAAATGCTGATACAGTCATACTTAATTTTCTTTGGGATAGAAATTAAGATTAGTAAAGTTGCAAGAAGTAATGATGTTGACCTGTCAGATTGCAGAAGCGTGATGAGACTGTCCAAGGTTAGGCTCCACTTCTGTAACAGGATGACAGGATGATTAGTGACACAGTCGGTGTCCCAGAGAGGGTAAATTAAGCAATGGGAAAGGGAAGGTGGTGATTATCTTCATCACTTCAGTGTAGTGGTGATTGGCCCAGCTGGAGAATACGGTCACCTGCGCCTCATTTTGGATTGAAGGTGGAGGTTATTACAGGTTTGTGGTGTGTGCGTGTTTTTTTTGTTTGTTTGTTTTTAAGATTTATTTATTTAAAAGAGAGGAGAGGCAGAGAGAAAGGTCTTCCATCTGCTGGTTCACTCCCCAATTGGCCACAATGGCTGGAGCTGAACTGAGCTGATCAAAAGCCAGGAGCTGCTTTTGAGTCTCCCATGTGGGTGCAGGGGCCCAAGGACTTGGGCCATTTTCTGCTTTCCCACGCCATAGCAGAGAGCTGGATGGGAAGTGGAGCAGCCAGCCAGGTCTTAAACCGGTGCCTATATGGGATGCTGGCACTGCAGGCGGCGGCTTAACCTGCTATGCCACAGCGCCGGCCCCGACCCCGACCAACGTTTTAAAGTTGCTTTTTTGTTGTTTAAAGATTGTATTTGAAAGTTATGGGCCCGTGCCACGGCTCACTAGGCTAATCCTCCACCTTGCGGCGCCAACACAACGGGTTCTAGTCCCAGTTGGGTGCCAGATTCTGTCCCGGTTGCCCCTCTTGCAGGCCAGCTCTGCTGTGGCCAGGGAGTGCAGTGGAGGATGGCCCGAGTCCTTGGGCCCTGCACCCCATGGGAGACCAGGATAAGTACCTGGCTCCTGGCATCGGATCAGCGTGGTGCGCCGGCCGCAGCGCAGCGGCCGTTGGAGGGTGAACCAACGGCAAAGGAAGACCTTTCCCTTTTCTCTCACTCTCACTCTCACTCTCACTGTCCACTCTGCCTGTCAAAAAAGTTATGCAAAGAGGTAGAGTCTTCCATCTGCTGGTTCACTCCCCAGATTGCTGCAACGGCTGGAGCTGAGACAATCCAAAGTCAAGAGCCAGGAGCTCCTTCCAGGTCTCCCTTGTGGGTGCAAGGGATAAAGGACTTGGGCCATCTTTTACAGCTCTCCCAGACCCTAACAGAGAGCTGGATCAGATGTGGAGCAGGTGGGACGCAAACTGGAGCCCATATTGGATGCCGGCACTTCAGACCGGAGCTTTAACCCTCTGCAGCACGCTGCCAGCCCCTTAAAGTTGCTTTTGTGTTTTTTACCCCTCTAGTTTCTTTGTCACCCCATAAAGTAGATTGGATAACATATTTTTAAAGATTTGTTTGTTTGAAAATCAGACTTTACACACACAGGGAAAGGCAGAGATCTTCATCTGCTGGTTCACTCCCCAGATGGCTGTAACCAGCAGAGCTAGGCTAGGCCAAAGCCAGGAGCTTCATTCAGATCTCCCACGTGGGTGGCAGGGAACAAGGACTTGGGCCATCCTCTGTTGCTTTCACAGGCACATTAGCAGTGGAGCAGGCAAACGCTGGCCCTATAACATTCTGCTCTCCCATAGGAGGCTCTGAGAGGTGGTGGTCAGCAGAGTGGTGAGTAGAAGTTAGAATGATTTTATAATTGTAAATTTTCAGTTGTTTGCTGAATATGTCAAGCTAAACTTCCCCCCTTCCCACTGCTTGCTCCCTTAAGTGCTTTTTAAAGCTTAGTGATGTATGACCAGTAAGCATTTAGGAATGTATCTCTTTAAAATGTTCCCTTCCACAGATGTTGAACACCTACCATTCAGGATACTTTTGTGTAAGACAGGCCATAGCAGCATAGTGGTGTCCTGTTGTTTTTAAAAACTGATACAGGATTGGGCTTTGTGGCACAGGAGGTTATGCTACTGCTTTGTATGCCTGCATCCCATATCAGAGTGCTGGGGGTTGAGTCCTGCCTCTACTTCCAACCCAGCTGCTTGCTAAGAGGCAGCAGATGATGGTTCAAGTACTTGGATCCCTACCACACATGTGGGAGAGTTCCTAGCTCCTAGCTTTGGCCTGGCCTGGCTGCAGTGTCTGGAAGACCTCTGTCACTTTGCCTTTCAAAATTAGGAAAGATGCTTAAGAAAAGCCCTATACATACTTGAACAGAGTCTATTTACATGGTTTCCTAGTTTTCCCCTTTGCTATTAGGCAGATTAGAGATTGGCCCTATCTTGTTAAGGTATACCAACTTGGGCTCAGTGTATCAGTGTATTGCACATCTAATTTATCCCAGGAACACTCGGTTAATTTAAAAGTGATTTGTAGAATTGTGAAGAACACCGAAGGTAACAGTTAAGTGAATTTAGTGATGGCTAGCTTTTCCCAGCTAATGGTTGGTCTTAGTTTAACTGTTGAACTGTTTCACATTCTCAAATATATTAATGTGTGTGTGTGCCCGCTGAGAGACTACCTATAAACTGATAGAGCAGTATGTGTTCTGTTGTCTTTCATAAGTGAGAGTATGAATGGACACTGAAAGGCAGTGTCTTTTTTCCCTATTCAGAATACCTGGTGGTGGTTAAGAAATTCTTAACACACGTATCAAGGACAGAATATGCCCTCGCTAGACTTGGCCAAGACCAGTTGATCAGTTTGCAGAGTTAAATCAAGTGAAAGTTCATGTGAACAGGTATTTACACCCTTCTTAGTCTGTTTTGTTCTTTCTTTCCCATGACTTTGAGTTTGGTGCCCTCCTAGGGAGTTTAGTTTCCCAATACTCCAGTCTCAGGGCTGTAAGTAATATCTATATGCTGTCAGTTTCCAAGTCTGTATCCCTGTTTAGACCAGTTGTCCCCCAAACTGGAGAGTTTACTCTACCGGACATCTGCTGAATGTCTGATAGGCCTCTCAGAATGCCAAGGCTGAACTCTAAACTGTTCACCCTGCCTCCTCCCCAGCTCCTTCCTCAGTCAGCAGTCTTTTCCAGCAGCTAACCTTGTTTCAGTTGCCAGGCCCAAACTCAGATCATTCTTGTCGCCACACTCCACATCCAGCACATTGAAAAGTGTTTTGTCTCTACCATCACAGAATACCTAGGTCTGCTTAGTACAGTTTCCACTGCCTCTGCCCTTGGACTATACACAGTCTCAGCTGTCAAGGTTTTATCTGTTCAGAATCCTACAGTGGCTCTCCGTTTCTGTCAGTGAAACCGTGGTTCTTAGGAATTTGCCCACAGATGCCTCCTAGTAACTTCCCTGGTGCCCACTTCATTCCAGCTACTCCGCTCCCTTGCCTTTCAGACCGGCCTTATGTGCCTTGCCCTTGGCTCTGAGCCTTTTCGGTGACATTTCCCCTGCCCGAGATGCTGTGGACACCTGTGTATGTGTCTCAGATTTATCCCCAATATTATGCAGAACCTACTCCCTCCTTGTAGTCTG